ATTTTATCAGTTTATTTTTTGCAACGATTTTACAATCAATGAAATATAAAATAATAAGAAATTATATTACCATGTGAAATCATAATATATTCGATAATAAAATCCTAACAATATTCTAGTCAAATGCTTATTGACGAACACAAGGTCTATGCAGTATAAAACAGTAAGAAAACCGGCTGGCAGCCATGATTGTTATAAAATTCATTGATTAATTCTAGTATGTGAAGCATAGAAAATTCTGTAATAAAATATAAGTGCGAAGTCTTATTATAATTCCACCAAGAATAGTGCCAATGACGACTTTCATCGTTGACAGGGTTCTATTTAAAACGATGATAAAGGAGCGCATAGACCAACCGGTCAGTATCGTCCGCTACATAAAAACAAGAAAAAGTCACTACCTTTACTCACAATTTTCAAACGTTCTATATAAATAAGCTGCCTCCTTAACAGGCCAATTCCTATGCGAAAAGCGAATCCCGCTTTTTGTGACCGATCCAAGTCTCACAAAAAGCTTGATCCGTTTGACGACAGAAAAATGGTTTGCTGACTACCGGAAAATCTTCCTCGTTTCTGGTTCTGCCGCAATATGCGATGTGAGCAGTTTTTCTAGACGCACAAGCGCGCGCATCTTTCTGCGCAGGTGCACTACTGGCGGTTTTATGGAAACATATACCAGTGTTGTTATATTTAAAAAAATACAAAATTATTCATTTTTAGACAAAAAAGTATATTATTATGTTCTTTCAACTCTTTTTACTTTTAATAAATACAAAGTAGCCATGTCCTTCTAAAACAGACATTTTAAATATACGAAATATTCTGTTCTAACGAAAGACATTAAATTGTTTTTTTTATAAATTCTTATTTCCAACTATTTAATTTTTTCAAATCCAATTGAATTTATATTCCATGCCTGTAGTAACGTAAATATATACATAATTAAATATGTCTTGATATTTTACTGATATCATATATGAATACTAATCAAGTGGTTTAAATTTTAAAGTGAGTAATAATGTCCTTGTGAGTAATATCTACACGTTCGATAAATTTTATACAATAAATTATAAAATCAAAATTCAAACCTAAATATTGTAATAATAATAATGTAATAACAATTTGTAATATTATTTAATATTCAAATCGGCGCCACTTCGAAGAATACATCGCCATTTTCAATTTTAACTGTCGTTTCTTGGCAACACCGGATGTTGGTATGTTTCGCATTTGTATACTACCTGGAATCATCATTTCCGGTTATTGCCCGCTGAAACGGTCCGAAGATTGTACGCCATTATTGCATACTGACGCTACGACGCATTGTTCCAAGCATTTTTGTAGGTTTTTCCTATATTTTGTCACATTCGTCTATATTTGAGGTTTCATAATGAGTGATATTGAGGTAATTCTTGTACTATTTTTTTAAAGTAATAATTTTATGTATAATTTTGTACATATTACGATAGTAACGACATGCGGCTGACCACAGCCATTATCGATCCATCAACGTTCAACTATATTTTACGCTTATGTTATGATTTTAATGCGCTTTTTTTTTATCTTTAAGCATTTACTGACTTGTAACGCTAATTAAAATGATAATAATGTTCCAATCTTTCTAATACATCTTTGTTTTGTACATGCAACGTTTTAACCACTTCAAAATTATAATTTTACAGCGAAGTGGTAGCCGTAGTGCGAGTCCTAGAAGACCAAGAACAGCAGATGGAGGTCTGAGAGATTCGCGTTCACATTCAAGATCACGTAAATCACGAGAACGTAAAGAAACTCATCGGCCAGTAAAAGAATATTCACGATCACGAAGCCGTTCAGTGTCAAGAGGAAGAAAATCATATCGTAGCAGCAAGTATGCCAGTGCAGGTCACCGCGGTAGTAGTCGCAGTCGTAGTCGTTCTCCTTACAGAGGTGGCAGATATTCTCGAAGCAGATCTCGTTCATACTCTCGTTCCCGCTACTCTCGCGAACGTGACAGGAACATTTATCGTTCGCACTCCCGCAGTCCAATGTCATCCAGAAGACGTCACGTTGGAAACAGAGACAATCCTTGTCCTTCCAGATGCTTGGGTGTATTTGGACTTTCTATTTTCACAACTGAACAACAAATACATCACATCTTTTCCAAATATGGACCTGTTGAACGTGTGCAAGTAGTAATTGATGCAAAGGTACTTACATATTGATATATTATAGACTTTATTATTTATAT